CAGGCTTTTCAGGATTCAAAAGTCAGGTATTGAAGCCAGGAGGGCCTGACTTGGCCATCATAATAACTTGTGATACAGTCAAGTCCAACAGAAGCACAGGATACCCTATATCTTCTTCTTTCCCAGCCTTCTGACAGAAATGAGATTCTCTTTAGACATTGCCTTTGCTGTTCACCTTGTGTAAACTCAGCAAGACACAAAAATCATCTGCTAACTTGAATTAAGTCTCACAAAGAATAAAGAAAGAAAAAAATTAATATACGTCAGCCCCTGAATCCAGACCTTTTTGAAGGCACAGAGCAGCCAACTAGAARGTGTTGGGGAGTGGGTTAGGCCAGTTCACACAAGAGGTTTTTGCACCATGGTATTGATTGTGTGAGGAGTAAGATTACSAAGTGTTACCTGCACTGAGTTATGCACCCAGGAGAGCTCAGCAGACCCCTACCAGRTCAGCACCTGCTCATTTTGTGGTGATGGACATACAAAAGGCCCTCATGCAGTGGCAGCAGCAAAGCTTTACAGTTGGTGAGGATTTCAGCTTGAAACAGTGGAGTGGGAACTGCGTAATGCCACAGTGGGTAAGAGAGCACAAAGCAGGAGCAGCACAGGTTATTTGTTGTCAAGATAATACCATCGAGACTATTTAGTTGGTATATGTTGGAAAATGAAAAATGATCACTACTTTATAAAGGACCTTGTAACTGTGGCTGAGCATGAAAGTGGAATATAGCAGAAAGCTGCAACGTGCCTGCCTGGGAGCTTGGGGATAACACAAAATCCCCACCATCAGTTGCTGCACCACAAAAGGAATGTGGGAGAAACTGGTAATACATTTAAGTGCTACCAAAATATTTATACACATATATATATATATATATATATATATATATATATATATTCCTACATATGTCTCTTCATAGAAACTTGTTACATATGTCTCTGTCACATTATGTCACCACTGCATGTCACTGTTTAGACAAAATGACAAGGAAGGATTTGAGCAAGGGTTTTCAAGTGCTGTCAGGGATGAGGATAATGAGGGWTGCCCTCATCAGTGGTTATGAGGACAAAGAATGGAAATAGCAATATCTCAAAGGAAAAAAAAAATAAAACGGAAGTCAGCACTTGCCCCTCAAGTSTTGTTTCAGAAAGTGTGTGAAAAACCAAACCCCAAGGAACATCACCTGCTGCAGGAATTACACTTTAGAGCAGACAATTATTTCCAGCTGGAGTATTTCCCAGGGTTAATTTGTAGAAAAACCACTCTAAGGCTGCACAGTCCCACACTGTTGGGRCCTGGTCCAGAGTCCTGCTGGGGTGGCCACAGAGAAGCGTAGGTGTTCTCTGGGAAGAGCATTTTGGTCATTGCCCAGATACCTTTTGTCAGCTCSTGTGTTCTGATAGCTAATGCACAGATGTTGGGCTTGCTTGGTTGGTTTTTAATGTGGTATTCACTAATCTCACCCAGTTGTGTAGAGCCTCCCTCCCACATTTCCTCCTCACAGACACACTGGATGTAGGTGGAGCAAGAACTCAGAGTGACAAGTGATGATTTGCTGCCTGCCCCTAAAGACACACACACACCAGGTAGAGTTGCTCCATGAATTAGCACTGAATCCCAGATCTGTCAAACTCAATGAATGCTGATTGATATAACTTTTTAATTAATGGATTTTGTCAGGAAAAGAAAGGAAAATTATAACACTGCCCAAACTACTGCAGTGGTTGATGTGGACTGGAGATTCAGCCTCCCCTGTCCCATCACTCCCAAAGCCARCCTCTTACAAAGCCTTTCAACTACATTTTCTAATTTCTACCACAGGAATTTAAAAAATCCAGTAAATCAAACTGTGCTATCTCATTCCATCAAAACCTCTCTCCCACAGCAACCAGCTGAAAGGCTGGTTGGTGCTTCCAGGAAAGTCTTACAGATCAAAGCACACCAAGACTGCTTAGACACACTTTTTTTTTCCAAAAGGCTCTGTCTGGGTGTGTCCTGATTAGCTCTGAGTCCGGCACAGGTCAACAGCAGATGAAGGGCAGGCACTTAGCAAGCACCAAACTGCTACAAGACTGCACTCCCCAACTCCCTACCCAGTCCAGTACTTGCAGTGTCTTGCTCCAAGCCTCCTTACTTGCATCCCAGAAATCTGGGTGTCAGCAGGTCAAGGGCAACAGTGCTGTCTCCAGCTGTGACTTGCTCATKTTGGACAATCTGCATCTTTCTTCCTATGACACACAAGCTCAGCTACTCGCACTAGGCACTCCACATCACTTAGGCTGTAATTTTTAATTTCATTATCATTATTATTGCTGCTAGAGGGGTGGTTAACATTCTCAGGATTCCTGCTGGTCACCCTGCAGCCACTGAACACACCCAACACACCCCAGCATCAGCTCCCAACAGCAAGCACTGAGCAGACAAGTGGCTCTTGGCAGCCCTGTCGCTTCCCTTCCTGGGGGCAGGATTGAAAACCATGGTGGTGCAATAGCTTAATCCCAGTCAGACCAGAGCCAGCATTAGCCCAAGCCAGCAGAGACACTATGAGCGCAGCATTTGATAGGATTTCTGTTTCCCTGCTAACAACAGCCTAATGGAAAATTCCAGTAATATTTAAGGATTCTCCCTACSTACATACTCTGATACCCAAGTAGAAATAGGGGACACAAAAATCCATCACGGAATCCTTTTASRAACTTGAAAAATACATGAACTGTARACGTTTTCAAAGCAAATYCTGTTCCTGCAGAGCCCCACAATCAGGGGACCTCAATGAGAGCCACAAACGCACTGTGTGCCATATGTAGGTGCTCCATAGAGGGACGTGTTTCCCTCATTAGGGAGATCCCAGTCTTTGGTAGCCTCCAGAGTACATTSCTCTGGAGCATCCCTCTCCTGGATGGCAGCAGCACACCACGTTTTAACCCCTGCAATGCAAAGGTCAGCTCTAAAAGCCTGAAGATTTCTGACCTCCCCAGGCGTTTGCACATGGAGCTGAACTACAGAGTGACACAGGCGCCAGAAAGTCAACACTGAGTGACACTGGTGCCAGAAGGTCAACACTCACTCACAGCCCTGCAATCCCACAACAAAGAATAAACCACAGACAGAGGCAGCAAGTGCTGCTGGCAGAGCATGGGAGGTTTGCTATGAAAGAACACAAAGATACATTGATCTTCTACAAGAGCGTTATTTAGGAGGTGTTTGGGAGATCTAAGGTCCATAGGAAAGCAGTAAGTTGTAATTAGCCGGATAACAGAAAGCAGAATGAAGTAATTAGCTGGATAATGTGCACTTACACATACCTTGGGAACAGAAAAGCAAAGGATGAAATTGTAATTGTCAGAAAATATGGAGARAAAAAGAAAATTTTTAAAATATCACTGCACTTTGGCCAGATGCCTCAGGAAGTAAAAAGACTCTTAATTCYTACRGATTTTGAGAGAAGTGAAAAAAAWTTGCTGTCTTTAGGGGATYCAGATTTGGATGAACTGGGTTACTAAATGCGATTTTCATCGTATCACTGCTGCATATTTGGATTTTATGGCTTCTTGAWGGTGAAGTTTTCTCAATAATCAGCATGCAGAAGGCTTAGAAAACTACAAATAAACCTTCAGCTGGGGCTCAGCAACACAATACCTGTTAGAACAGTTACCCAAGCCTCTGACCTCTTTGTCAATCCAAACTTCTCCAACACTTACAAGGAAAAGTCTCTCTGTCCCTGCCTCCCACCCCAGAGGATGGGGATGACTGCAGTCTCTGCTGCAGCACTGCTCTGTSCCCAGCCAATTCCTCTGTCAGGAAGAGGCTATGAACATGGAAAGCCTGCAAAATTTAAGTAAGTAGTAAAACATCCAGATGAAAAGATTATTCAGTGCATTAAAACATAATTATGGCCAATTAGGAAGTTAAAGCACATGGATCATCATTTTGGATCTCCAGAAGACAGAGCAGTGGGTTTGGCTTTCAGCACAGCACATGGCTGCTGTCCAAGGAGGACAGCACAGGCACCTTTATAGAAGGAGAGAGGAACATCCTAAGGTATGTGGCAGGGGCAACTCCTTMCAGTTATTTTGTTAAAACCTGCTTAGTTTGTGTCATCTATGAGGGCAATTTTTAAGGTTGTTTTCCTCAGCCTTAAGAACAGCAGGAATCAAAGACTAAGGAGAAAACGGAAAGAACAACAGAAAACAGCCCACTGCTACAGCAGAGCGCTCAGCACCGCACTGACTCATGCAGAGATTAGATACCAGGAGCAGTCTGCAACCTTAGTCAAGCAGAACACAAAGTCCTGCTGTTCCAGGAAAAAATCAAGCTAAATAAAATAATTGCTTCTCAGGCATGACTCAAGTTCTCCCAACAAGCACCCACCTCACCAACAAAGTGGTCGCTTTGGAAGATGCCAGAGTGTGCCATCGTGCCCACAGCACAAAACCATCTCCAAACTGCTCCAGGTGTRCCCACAGAGAGCTTCCCGCTGTGTTTTCCCACAAAGTCCCAGATCCTGCAGCATACTAAATTTTACTGTACTGCTGCCTTCATCTAAYCAAGACCATCACACTTCAGATACCYTTACTCACCAACAAATRAAGTTCAAACCCACTGCTTTTAGTAGGCAAGCCCCAGATCTGGTTGTAGGAATAAGCCTCCAAAGACAATCAGCCTTATTATTAGAAGCTCATAACCGGGGAARGGGACAGACATGCCACCACTTTTTCTCCTTCCCAAGTCAAACCCAGGAACGTAGAGGCAGTCAGGGGTTTGTAGAAGTTTTGCTCAGTTAACGAAATATCAGCCACAATCTCTGCAGAAGAGCTTAAACACAAACCTCAGACATGCATCTCACAACCACCCTGCTCCCTTTTAGGGAGATTCGAAACAAAACAAAACAAATGATGAAAGGTTAATTAAACCACAAAACAAACGAAGACTCCAGTTAGCAGTACAATTACCTCGGAGTGCCCTCCACCGGAGGAAGGTCTGCAAGAAGTGCATGCTCTTTTTCCTCAGTCCCGGAGGAGGTGGCAGCATTAGCAGGACCGGGGCTGCTYCTCGGTTTGCTCACAAGCACTCCGGCATCCCCCAGCTCCTGCCAGCCCCGCACTGCTCGGTCCAGCCTGCGCAAAGTGCACCTGGTCTGCTCTGCTGATCACTGAGGGGGAGTCTGGGGCTTCTCTCTCTCATGCTCTCTCCCTCTCCAAATAAGCAATTAGCATGAATAATTACAGCTCTGATAATAATACCCAGCCACCTTTGAGCAAAAGGGAAAAGACTGTAATTAACTCTTTCCCAGGGATCAGAGGAAGTTGAAATAGCGCAAGCCTAATTATCTTCTTTTGGGATGCCTGCTGGCTACCGAGAAGCTCTGGAAAGTGTGGGAGGCAGAGGTCAAGTAGTATCCTTTTGGAAATCTCCCCATCCAACCCAATTTTACGTGTCTGCTACCCAAGTGATCATTAGAYGTGCAAATGTACACAAGAGGGAAGRGAACCCAGTGTTTCCCCGCACTGTGCTAATCAGGGGCTGTCCATTCAGAGACTGCCTGCGGCGTTATCCCATGATGTTTCTTTGGTCACTGAGGACTTTGGAGGAGTTCCCCTCCCAGAGGATACATTGGGGTGATGTRTGGATCCTTTTGTGCACAAAGCAGAGCCACAGCAGCTCTCAGGAGACCTGACCCCAGGCTGGAAAGGGCACCAATGGTCAGACAGGCTCCCACTATACACCCCACCCCAGAGCTTTCTTGCTGCCTCATCCCCCAGGTCACAAAGCTAGGAGGAAAACACATAAATGATGCAGGTAGGTATTCCAGATCAGCTCAGAAGGAAAACCAGGGTGAGCACATTTAATGTCTTTGCATCAAACTGGTTTTTTAGTTTTCCCAACACCTCTCCCGGCAGGCAGCTGGGACAGGCACACGAGCACGTCCTGCTCCCAGCTCCTCCAAGAACCAAAACACACTACATGCACCACCCCACAAAAGAGTTCCAGGGATTTCAGAGATTTCAGCAATGGATTGTGGCCCTCTGCAATAACTGCCCCAAACTGCCCAAGGCTCTGAAAGGGGGCATGGGTCAGATGGCTGCTGTACCATACTTTCCTCATGTTATTAAGAACTGTGATAAATAGAGTTATTACACAATATTGTTATGTTTTATTGCTATTGCAGTATCTGGAGATGTTATTAGATGTATATGCTGCAGTAGAGCAGCTACCCTCCGAACACTCCAGTCTCTTATGAAAAGAGCACAGGTTTTGTTAACATYTCCTCTTGTATTCCATTGACCTGAAATGTCTAAGAGTGGAAAAATTAAAGGGTTTATGAACCCTTATCACTAGCCTTAGAAAACCTGCTGAAATGTTTCTGTCTTTAAGCATTTAAGTATTAATTTTCATATTATGAAGATTCCACATAATTCTTTTATTTATGAAGTCAAGATGCTCAGGGCACTGGAGAATATAATAAAGCACATTAAAATGCAATATAATATAAATAAAATCATTTCAGATATTTAATGATTTTTTGAGAGTTTACCAATTTTTTGTATATAATAAGCATTTTAACTTTCTTTATTTCATCTCCTCTTTTACAACAGAACTACCTTTTTTTGGTTAATTTCTTGAAAACTGAAAAGATAAACATATTCTTATACACAGCTTGAATCCCACAAGTTATTGTGTATATTAGCTTCCCAGTAACATGAATAGTTCCATAGTCCATTAAGTAGACTAAGCAATGGAATAAATGGAAGCTTATATATAAAAACCCAGCCCCTGAAATGGTAATTATTAATAAATAGCATGATCAGTATGGCTCAATGGTTATGATACTGGGCTCTTAAAATTCCGTTTTGTTGTGAAAATCTATACCTGTTGTACCCACACTTATGGTGTGGTCTGCTGTCATTTCAAGAGCTGGTTAAGTTTGAAAAAGTGATGGGCATTTGGGGCTTGAATTTTAATTTTACTATGACCTAACTGCCAGGGCAGCCAGTCCAGCCTCTGCTCTGGACTCTTTCCAGCTTATGTGCTACCCTCAGCATCTCTGARCCAGCAGGCTGTTTATGTGCTGTTAATGGACACTGGAGGTGGAGACACCCACAATTTTCCCATTGGAAACGTCTTTCCTGCAAACTGCATGTGGCCCCAAGGACAGGAAGGGCTTTGGTGGCACTCCACACCACAACTGGGACAGTCCCCATCATGCTGTGGTGGGAGCCAGAGCTCACAGGGATGCAGTGCTGCCCACCTGGGAGGTGTTGGAGGTTCTTGGATCTGTGTGTGAAAGTGTTATGGTGAGTGCACGTGGGCAGAGGGCAGGAGCAGCCACGGTTCTGCACTCTAAACCTGCACAGGCAGCCCCAAAGAGGGGTTTGCACAGATCTACACCCAAGAACAGCCTTGGGAGGTCAGGTGAAACACCCCAATAGATCTGTCAGGGATGACAAATTCCAAAATTATAACCTAACCTGGGGAAACTGCAGCACTGACATATGGAGACAGTAAATTGGTCTGCAAGCAGGAGCCTGAGCTTTACAGAGACAGGGGGACATCAGAGGACTGGTGCTGTTCAGAGGTCTGGGGCTTTGTGGCTCCATTATCTGGCTCCAAGTCTGAAAGATGCTCTTTGATTAACAGCTTTTGGTTACTACTCATCTCCCTAAACAGGAKTGAGTGATGCAGCCTGTTGCAGTCTGCTCTACACACTCATGTACCAGCTGCCTCCAGGTGTTACATTGCTAAAATTTCCAATGCTTTCAATTAACACGTAGCAAACCATTAGTCAWGTTGTCTTTCCAACAAATAATTGCTCTCCCTGGCTCTCTTCCACATCACTGTGAGCTTCCATTTAATTTATGGGCCCTAATAAAACATAAAGAAACCCAAACGAATGCTTCAGCAGTTTCCTAAKCTTTTCCAACACCTTTGGTGGGGAGGTGCGCTGGCATTTCAGTATTTTATGGATCTGAGGGAAGGGTGGCTCATCCAGCAGCAGACAGGAGTTTGCAGCAGGGCAAAGGACAGACTGACACCCTCTGAGTCACATCTGGCACATCTGCAGGGTGGGGACACCATCAGCAGCTCCAGACCCTGCTGCACGGGGATGMGCCTGCCTGCCCCTCGGCTGAGCCTCCCACGCATCCCAGGGCTGTGCAAGGCACTTGCCACAGAGGCACGAGATGAAAGGAGAAGGATGCAAACATCAGAGGAASGAGGGAGACTGTGTCATAAAGAAAACAGCTAATTCCTTGCTAATTATTCAGACCSCAGGCCTTGCCTTATCCAGCAGCTTCACACAGGAAGCACAGCCAAGGACAGCTGGGGAAGGAAAAAGGCACTTTCCAGTGCTGGGGGGTCCTGCTAGCCCTGCCTCAGCCACCAGTTGCATGTGGTCCTTGGCCCTGATGCCCCAGAGAACAGGTTCAGGTGTTGCAAGCTCTCAGCTCTCAGCTCATCCATTTGAAACACAACCCCAGTAACAACCGCAGCACCCACTGGGTCCAAATTCACCCTATGCCCTTTCACACACCCACTCAGGGTCACCCCACACCTGCCCTACAACGGGCACAAGTCCCTGCCACGTGCAGAGACCTGGCACATTTCTTTGCACAAATGACCAGAGACAGCAAATCAGTGCAATGAGCAACACCCCCAAAAACAACAGGCTGAAGAAGCAACGCTTGGGTGATTACAAAAACTTGAACTGAAAGCTGTTCAAAAGGTATCCAAAAGAGAAAGGGAAGAGGGCTGCTGAGCCTGACTCCCCAAATAAAGTCTCTCTGCTGACAAGTTTGCCTCCAATTTGCAATTCTTGTATCTGACTGCACTCGGAGTCGATGCCAGCCCTGTCTCTTGTCTCCCCACACACAAGCACCCACCAGAGAGGCCATACTTGGAGGGACAGAGCAGTCAGGGGCAGCTGTCCCACTGCTCTCCACTGCATTGGGCAGTGCAGGAGCTGGAACTGATGGGCACCCCGGGTACAGCCCTGGTCCTTTCCTGGCAGTGCCACAGGGCGAGCAGCAGCTCCAGCGCTGCCGGGCTCTTTAAGTGCTGCAGCCTGGACAGCCTTGCTCTGCACTTCGAAGCAGTGTGAAAGGCTTGAAGGGAAAAGCAAAGAACTGTGAATCTCAGCAGAAACGGGGTTTGTGCTATTATACCCCAGTRCCAAGGGAGAAGACTAAATAATTAATCACAACAGCAACTGAGTGTTAACGAGCTGCACAGGATCAAACCGCATGGAAGATGCAAAGGCCCCCCAACCCTCTTCAGTGTGCTGACAAGCCTCATTTTAATAACTTGACTACCAAAGCCGAGAGGATATGCCACAAATAAATAAATGGATCCCAATATCCCCTTGGGTTTCTGCTGGGGATCAGMTTGACACCTTTGCCACCAAAGGAGCCAGTTCAGAGCATGTTTTGCAGAGGGGAGAACTGAGCGAGCGAAGTGTCCCAGGCTTTGGGTGGTCATTGCTGAGGTTTTCTGCACATCACCCCACTGTCTCTGTAGCTTTAAGGAAAGGGGGATATGCATTCAGAATAGAAAAAGCAAACAAATAATGCTGTTTTGGTGCCATCCCTAAATAGCAGAGTCTGACTGTGCAGAACTGAGCAGCAGCATCCAGGAGCCAGCGAAGATAACACGAGACAGAAAGGGAAATACATGGATGTGCCTCTCTTGGATGCTCTGTCCAGTCAGATGTACTGAGAGGACAGATGATAGAATCAAATTGTGTATTACCCTGCACACAGGATATCCCTGTGCAGGGCTCAAGGCTAAATAAACCACTAATACTAGGACACAACTAGTAAAATAATTTACAGTACCAGCAGTAAATCACCTTCCTTTCCAGCACACCACATCAGATCCAGCACAGATATCTGTTACTCCAGCTTGTGATGGGGATCTTAAGTACTAACATTTGCATCACAGTCCCTTGCATCAGGTTTCTCCATCCTACAGTGAGAAAGGGTTATGYCAAGTAGGGTGAAAAAGACCATATGGATTCCATTGTGCCAACAGCTACAGAAAAACAAACTCGAAATAATGATATATTCTGCTTATACAGTACCATGGCTTCCAAAAGGGCTTTGAGAAGTTAAACTGATAAGCAGGCAATAGTCAGGGCTCTGCAATCCATCAC